GTGTTATTTATAACAAACCATATTACAGATGCATTGTCAGATTTAAGTTGAACCGCGGTCTTAGCGCGTGCCGAACCGTGTGTGGAGAACCAGAGCCGGTGTTGTGCCCAAGTCTGACCCCCGCCAGATTATAAGATTATTAGGGGCAAGGTTAGGATTAGGCAATCAGGTAGTGATTTCAATGAGGGGGGTAATTATTTGCCAGGGGGTTGAAAATGGGCACAACACCGGTGCCAGCACAGCACTGATGAGGGGGCGGCTGAGGTAACAAAAGGGCTGGAAGTTTTTTTTTTTAACCGCAAGGTCTAGAGACGTGTTTTTAGAAGCTGAATTTCTTTGAACTTAAGCGCCGTGTTTTAGAATGATGTGTTATGCGCGAGAAGCTGCTATAAAGACCTGAGACGAGCGCAGCATTCAAACACACATTCAAAGACGTCCGTAGCACATTTAGTTTGAACATTTAGTTACAATGGGAAAAGTACCGCAGAGGAACGAAAAATACGTTCTGAGTGAATGACCCTACTAAAAGGTACTTAGCAAATACAGATGGCAGAGTAGCCATTGAATAAAACAAAATCGCATAGGCAACAAATTCGGAAATATGACATCCAGGAAATAATATGTCTTAGGCAGTAGTTTTACCAAGTGATACCACCATAACCACCAGCAATACTTAATTGTGTCTGCTTTACAATGAAACACAAGCTTATTGCGACCGATTCCCTGACATAACACATTCATTGCGACCCATTTAACAGATGTATCATTTTAAGTTAGAACAACTTGAAAAGCAACAAACAATAACAATACAGCGAAATAACCAACTAACTACGATCATCTAGCCATCTATTAAACATTAAAGAATTATTTCATCATACCTTTAGCTTACTCAGTAGTGCTGCATTCTTAGTTGAACCGCTTGCGCAGAAAGTTTGTGTGTCAGATGTAACAATTAAAATGCGACTTTGTGAAACGGACTATCATAAGTATCATCATATTAATGCTAGAAAGCCTATGCATTTGGAAACTGTATTTTTTTTTAAAAACAAACCATTATATTTCATAAATAAAATCTATTTTCACACTCATCTTGAGTGAGGGGCGACGCCCCCCCGTGTAGCCGGCCCTGTGGAGAACCGTACGGTTAGATTTTTTCCCGCGAACTGTTCCACCCCTTTTTCATAGCATTCAAAATGTATCACACCAGCATAGATATAGACTTTATTGTTTGCCATGGGGTGTGGTGTTTTGCAAAGCAAATTAAGTTGTTGCTTTAATATCTTGCTTTGCTCTGCTGAAATGGTATCAGGCATTTCAGAGATTTATTGTGAAAGCTCCATATTTTTTTATCATATTTATCAATTCACAGTGATTTGGAGGAGGGAGACTTACTTGAAGAAGATTGGCTGTCATCAAAAAAGGTAAACAAGTGATTTCCATCGTTGCCAATTTCTTTCCCCTCTGCTTAAACTTATTTTTATAGCTGTTGTTTTTTCAGTTGCTGCCTTTCTCAATGTTTTTTTAGGCAATTTTAACTGATAGGAATACATAAATTGTTGTTCAGGTGTACTTAATATTCAAGACTTATAAGGCCAACAACATGTGTAACAATCTCACCAAAATATCAAGTGTATTAAGCAGAAGATTTTTAATTTCTTTTTTTGTCCACCCCAGAACCCCTCAGAGATGTCAGATGAAGAGCTAAATGATGACCTCTTACAAAGTGATGAAGAGGACCAAAACGCAAGGTACCCTAACAAAAACCTACAAATAAAACCCTAGGCATTTCAAAATCTGTAAGTGATCTTGTATTGCTGTTTTTGGTCACTTCTTTGCCTGAAAAACATAAGCTGTTGGATCGTTTAGACAAGAGACATGAGTGAAAATTCATTACTAAGATATGTTTTCAGTTGTTGTATACAGAATTGGGTTTCCAGATAGACTTTTGTTGTTGTTTTTAATGTTTTTTTTTTTGTTTTTGAGTACAAGACAGTAAGTAATGTTGTGTCTTTTAATGTACCCTATTTTGTGCTTGTGGTTATATTGCTTGGTTTGCTTGTTTTGTATACAAGTACTTTTGTGTTACTGTTTTATGAGCACTGACTGAAAGTGCAATATGAAGAAAATTTAATTGCTATTAGTAACTGCCAAATTGCAAGACATGTCTGGTCACATTATCACATTATGGTGACGTCTTTGATTTGCCCTGGCAATATGTAGATTAAAAAGATTTGTTTTAGAAGACCGATATGACACTCATATCAGTGTAAACGTTCAAAATGGTCTTTTCTTTTGGGTTAATTGTCAAATGACTAATTGCGGATCTTCTAAAATGACAAAATTATAATTGGTTTAAGCTACTGCTTGCTAAATCTAAAGATGAGATGCTTTTTATGTTTGAGTTCCAAAATAGTCTGCAGTATCCCAGAATAGCCTATATTAAAAGTATTTTCCCCTTTTTACTTTATTATTGTTGCACAGAAGAACGTATGCTTAAAATGAATATAAAATACAGAATTACCTAAACTGTTCACTTTTCAATTTGTGGGGTCAAAATTGCCTTCACCCCATAATTTATGCAAAGCTTCAGTGCTCTAAAATCAATAGAGCAGTTCATCCATAACATAATTAGAGATGACATTGAACTAACTTTGACACCTTCTGCCCTAATCAAACGGCTTTCTTTTTTGCAATATAAAAAAAGAGTTTAAAATAGCAATTTTAGGTGACACGCTTCACTTCAGTCTCTAATATAGTTATTGTGGTAACCCAAGGGCAAGCTCAACAAAAATCAACAAATTAATCACTTTATTGTCCAGAGTTTAACACATGTTTGTCTGTTGATGTCTTTGTGTCTAGTGGTCAGGGTGAGGTTGTGAGTTTAAATGCCACACTGGGTCTGGGCACGTCGGGTCACCTTCAAGATGAAGACCCTGATGGAGGTGGATATACCGAATACGCCTATGAAGAGACAGAGGGCGGCCAACCGGGTTTCTCTCAGGGTGGGGAGTATGAAGGAAATGAGTACCAAGGAGAAGATGGAAGGGTGGAATACACAGGAGACCAGAACTGTGAAGAATATCAAGATGAAGTGCTGGAACTACAGATCGATGAGCCACTGGATGATGACTTTCAAGTAAGTAACGCTTTCTCTTGCTATCTCTATTGCTTACATACACTCTCCATAATCCCCCACCACATTTCCTCCACGTCTGCAGCCTGACACCTCATGCTTTGTGACCCTCAGGCCTCAAGGTTTTGTTCAGGGCGAGACTCTTTTCGCAGTCTTTGTTCAGCAGATGTCCTGCCAATCTGTGCTGGCTAATGGGAAGAGCTCTCAGACAGGATCTGATAAAGTTGGCTGTAGGTGAAAAGATTATTGACCTTGAAAGTAGTCTTTAGCAAGCATGACACAGGCTCATGATTGATGAGTTGTGTGCTTCCTGTACATGTTTATTTATTTATTTGCTTAGATCTTAAAAGCACACAGTTCACCCAAAAATGAGAATTTGAGACCCAAATCATTCAGATCAATTTTGTGAACTAATTAATTGAAAAGATCCTACTAAAAATGACTATTCATTTATAAATCAGACATCAGACAAAGTTAGTAAGATGAAAAACAAGGAACTGGAGATTCTTAATGCAATCCCAAGTGATAGAGTCTTGAGTAGACTGGATGCTGTCTGACCAGATTGACTAGAGGCCAATCTGAGTAAAAATAGATTGCCACTTTCCCAATCTATAGACGGCTGTCTTAGGTCAGATGCAATTTTTTTTTTTTTTTTACAGGAATTTTCTACAACGACTACTATTCCCAGCTCTATGCTAATAAGAGGCATATTCAAAATTCCTTAAAGTGTGATTGTGTCAACAGTCATGGGAAGGTATTTTGTTGTATATATAAAGGTGATAAACTACCTTTGCCAGCTGTTTGAAGAATATTTTCATTGCTTAAACTCTGCTTGAAATTCTCTGCTGAAGTTCTGTTGTTTGAGCATATGATGTCTCTGTTTACAAGGTCGCTTACCTGCTGAGGCTTAGCATCTTTGTGTTTACAGTTATCCAGAGTTAATGTGTGGAACGGTTTAAAGGATTAACTATTTGCCCTGTAGGTGGTCAGTTCCTGTGCTGTGTGCAGGAAACATGTCATAGTCATTTAGGTCTGTCCGACTTGGTGTTATGCTTGGTATACAGTTCTTAGCACATGAGACCATGATCACAAAAATAATCTTCTATTCATTCAATAATCTTACATTCATCACCAATGTCAAAACACAAATGTTTTGGCTCAAGGCCTTCTTCAGTGTGTTGAACAGTTCAGTCCCTCCACCCACTTTTTTAAATCATTAATTCCAGTGATGTCATCATTCATTAGCCAATGTACAGTCTAGGGCTGTGCAAATAATCGAATGTGATTTTCATGCGCATCTCGTCAGTAAAGCCGGTTCTGTGATTAGTAGTAAATCTCCAGCACGTGCTTTCAGATGGAGTGGCATTTACTACACAGAGCCGTAGTTCACTGACAAGCTACTCAAAATCGCGTTCATAATCACAGGCTCATTATCGGCAATGAATCGCATGCGATTATGAACGTGATTTTGCGTAACTTGTCAGTGAACTACGGCTCTGTGTAGTAAATGCCGCTCCATCTGAAAGCACGTGCTGATAATTTCCATTTGTATACAAATCATCACATCCACCTATACACTATATAATATATACCCATGACTAGAACATGAATTATATAGGATCCCATATTTATCCCATAATTATTTATTAGTAGGGATAAATATGGGATCCTATATAATTGAAAAAGTGTAAAAAGCTTTTTTCTTGTATGTTTTTGTATTACATACTGAGTTTTGTTTAAAAATTGAGATTTGTGCTAGAAGTTGAGATTACGAAGCCAAAACTGGCATTTTGATTACATTTCTATTAAATTGAGGCACTACTAATTTGTATGTGTACTAGTATGCATACAAAAGTATCTTTTTTATTTATTTTTGTTCAACATTTTATTTCAGAATTCAGACACACAAAATAGTCCAGAGCTTAGAAACAGTTTGGCAAACAGTGGTCATGAAGCATCAGGGTCAGTCACTTTACACAAAGACGGAGAGACTGATAAAATCCTGCAAGAGTCAAGACTCATCAGACTGCTCCCTTTGTTCTGACTTTCATTGACCTTTAATGCAGGACAGATATCGTTGATCATTCTGCCTGTCCATGTGATCGCTTGATCATCGGTGTCCAGGACAGTGCTGACAGGTGCACGGAGGCCTTGGCCTCACATCACATTTTGCAAGTTTGTCTGTTATGTTTCTGTACATTATAATAAAGGCTTATTCTTACTACTGAGATCTGGATTCACAGTAGCAAAATGACATGGAGAGTTTTGTAATAGCACACAGCATGCGTTTTCTCAAGGATATGACTGGACAAGTGTCAGTGTCTCTTCAAATATAAGTTTGCTTGAGCACTGTTGACTAGGGCTGGGTAAAAAATATCGATATCTCGATTTTAATCGATTCTCATTTTTACGGAACGATATCGATTCTTAAATCCCAAGAATCGATTAGTCTAGCCTGTTTTCAGTTAGAGGATGGAACATTGAAGGGCACTTCCCATCCAATATATCGCAATAATCATTGTGCTTTGGTACTTTTAATTTAGATTTCAAATTCTGTCCATTGTATTGCAGTATTTAAACAATAAATGCCGTTTTGGCGCTGTTTAATGTGGAGTGCCAGATTGCTGTAGCGCGGCACGCCTCAGTTCAATAATAAGCGGCAGCGCGTGGCGCACCGCGCACGTGAACTGATCATCTCCTCCACATTAATACCAGTTTCAGCACAAAATAATCATGACTAAACATCCGAAGGTAAGTTAAAAGAAAGTTCAACTTTACAATCCGTATCCTGTCTCATGTAGTCGCTCAATCAGTGTTTCAGCCACGCGTCAATCAGTGTAACGTCACATTTACCTCAGAAAAAAACATATTTGGTGACTATAAACTCATTATTCAGATAGAAAAATAAACTGTAGAGAGGGGCATTTTGCTAAATATATGCACCATATAACATATTCATTATAATTTTTGCTGTTTTTCAATGTTTAATTTATGTTTGAATAAATCCATCAAGTTTTTATGACAGCCACCATTATGTTTATATTTCAAAAAACGAATTGAA